TATCCTAAAGTTATAGGCCGATATCTGTATTAGTCTCAGAAATATTGCAATTAATAGGAAAAAAATACGCAATTTTAGTCATTTTTAAGTCTCACGTATCTTATATTTGTAGCTTCCAGCAAAAGATGGCAGCTTAAATAGCTCAAAATTGTTTTCTAAAAACTAATTCAAGCTTTGTTTGATATTGTAATACAATTATAATAATGATAATGTACTATTTATGATTTTTAATATGACTTTATAGTACCCTACCCCTGGAAAGAGGGCGTGGTCAATGTTATCATTTTGCAGCATACAATTAAAAACTTATATTGATAGAAAGCAAATCATTGCATTTTTAACATTTTCACTTGTTACTTGACATTGTAATTCATTCATTACTAAAATATAGGACTCTACATATTTTATATATACGTTTTCAATTTTGTACAATGTATCATGATGAAATCTAATAGGCTGGTTCATTTTCAGTGTTCACTAACGCATGAAATGTAAGTCACAGTGTTTCCAAATTACCTTTGCAATGAGAAAGTACCACAAAGACTACATAATATGAGCAGTTTCGAGGTACTAATACTAATACTTACCGATCTATCGGCGTTCAAAAATAGAGAAAGCTGTCGTGAGTGCAGTTTTAACTAACTTTGAACTGAAACTGCTGCTTAATGAATATTTTTCTCAACATCTGTGACTTTTTTAGACCCCAAACATAAGATACCAAGACATAATGCTACCAAGTTCTGATATTGGAAGTTTCAGAGCTCTAGATCAAATATTCACTTCTGCATATACTTTTAAAAAGAGGCAAAAGGACAAAAAAAACTGTCAGATATCGTGAAAAATATGAAAGATGCACTATTCAGAACAATTTATCTCTTAAATGTTACTTTTATTTGACATAATTTCTGATTCTGCCTCCAGTTAGTACCACCAATAAAACATATGAGAAGACTTAACGTCATAGTATGTGGAAGTACAGATCTATTGGCTTCTGAAAATGGGAAAAGCTGTAGCAAGTATGATTTTCACCAGTTTTTCATCTAAGATTGCAACTTTCTGAATTTTCTTTTTACAAACTGCACAGTAAGACCAAAGACATTAAAGGAAACCTGGTCATTGTACCACCAATAATAGGTAAAAATAATATTGGTAATATATACCAAGTGTTTACTTTAATTCCAAGGCATCTGAATTGATAAATAAATGAAATCAGTACTTTATTGTATCTTGGGACAAAATACACTGTTTGAATGCTTAAGCTTGACATCACAGTATCAAGTGAAAGTTGTTATATACAGCTATATATCACTTTAACTGACTTTACTCTTCAATTTGAAATATGCCTGGCCATTCTAAGAAAAATGCGACGAGGGCAAAGAGGGTGCATGGTATAATTGGTAATTAAGCTTTTCTAGAGTTTAAGGCTCCCACAATTTTTAAAAACGAAATGGAGAATAACATGTGAAAGTATAGGATGGACTAATTGTTCTAAGAAAGTTTTTGAAAGTAACATTGCATGAAATATTTAAGCAAGAGATATGTTCCAAAATGCTTTCAGGTAGAAATAAAGCTCCGTAATGTAAAAACAATGTATTCTCAGTATTCAATAATAACATTCTTTATAGGTTTTTTGGTCTTAAGCATATATATAGGATATCCTATGATTTATGAGTGATATGATTTTTATCCACGAATGGATATGATCATCTGCACGAGCGAGCGTAGCGAGAGAGTGCAGATATCAATATCCATGAGTGGATTAAAATCATATCACGAGTAAATCATAGGATGTTCTTTTTATTCCATAGTTAAAGTCATCATCAGAATCGTCGGAAATTAAGTGATTTAATTCGAATTTTCCAAACGATCCGGCGATAATGACACTTAGCCTCGTTTTGAGTCTGAAGTAGCAAAAATCCATAAACCATCGCATACGGCGCCGTATGTCATGGCTAAAAAACCGTATGCTATGGTTAAGTGAAAATTTGTCAAAAATATCATATTTTACCACTGATTACAAAAATACCGTTTTTATTTTCACATGTTATCCTATGAATATCATGCTAACTATGGAAAAACAGTGATTATCCCATGGTTGCAAGGATATAGATCGAATATCACATGAAGATATATTTGATATGTGGATCAAGTTATAATATTTTAGCAAAAAATTCACAAACCATCGAATATCACTTTTAAACTATCGAATATCACGTCTTAAAAAGTGATATTCGGTGGTTTGAAAAGTGATATTCCATGGTTTCGAATTTTTTCAAAAAAAAATTTCTTTTTACATTTTTTAATTATTTTCAAAAAATTTAAAAAAAATTTCAACATTTTTTCACAATTTTTTTCAATTATTTTTTCAAATTTTTTCTCGAATTATATTTTTCACATTTTTTCGCTGATGATGATTTCCCATGGGATAAATTTTTTTTTTCAAAAATATCAATTATATCCACTCATGGATACAAATATTTTCACTCACTCGCTGCGCTCACTCATGAAAATATCAATATCCACTCATGGATATAAATGATATTTTTTCAAAACCATAGGATATTCCTATATTATATCAATCCGGATGCTGAAGTCACTTAATAAATAATAACTAGATGTAACTCCTAGTAAGCACTTCACGTTTCAGTTCTAAATAAAATACAGTTTAGTTAAAAAATTGTTAAGAATACATACATTTTTTCACAATCACAATTTCACCATTTCTGACTGTATTTTGCATATTTTTAGGTGTCAATGGTTCAATGATTATTTGATATAACCTCCTGAAACTACTCTTATATATATTTGGTGGTACAGTGATATGGAATCCTGTCTTTTGGGGTCTCACGGAATTCTGGTTTTAGAGAAGAAAATCCTGAAAGCTGCAGTTTAATATTATGAATTATAGGTGAAAATTGCACTTGCTACACTGCTTCTCCCATTTTTAGATGCTAATAAATCTGTAACTACACTTACTATGACCTTAAGACAATAAGTCTACTCATATGTATTATTGGTATTACTAAGTAGAGGCAGAATCAGAAATTATGGGTAAATAAAAGTAAAATTTAAGAGATAAATTGTTCTGAATAGTGCATTTTGTCACATTTTTTCGCGATATCTGACTGCATTTTGTGTCTTTTGGTTTTTTTTAAGAGTCCATGCAGATATGAATACTTGATCTAGAGCTCTGAAATTTTCAATACCAGAATTTGGTAGCACTATGTCTTGATATCCTGTGTTTGGACTCTAACCAAATGTTGAGAAAAAAATTCATAAGTAGCAGTTTTAATTCAAAATTAGTTGAAACGGCACTCAAGACAGCTTTCCTCATTTTTGAAAGCCGATAGATCGGCAAACATTTACACAATGATCTTCAATCTGGGCATACATATTCTTAATGGCACTATCTCATTGCCCAGATATTGTGGAAACATTGTGACTTATATTCCATGTGATATAGTAGTAAGCACTGAAAATGGACTTGTTGCATTGTGGCGGACCCCATACAAAACAAACATAGGGGTAAGGGGGGGGGGGTTTAAACGTTGATCAGTTCTGCTATTTTTTGTGGCTATTGGTCATATAGTAGATCATTTTGTCAAAAGGTAAGGGTGATCCGAGAAAAAGTTTGTAAATTGAAACAGTCTATTAGATATCATTATGATACATTGTACAAAATTGAAATTGTATATATAAAATATGTAGAGTCCTATATTTTAATAATAAATGAATTACATTGTGAAGTAACAAGTGAAGATGTTTTATATGCATTGATTTGCTTTCTATCAATACAAGTTTTTAATTGTATGCTGCAAAATGATAACATTGACCACGCCCACTTTCCAGGGGTAGGGTACTATAAAGTCATATTAAAAATCATAAATAGTACATTATCATTATTATAATTGTATTACAATATCAAACAAAGCTTGAATTAGTTTTTAGAAAACAATTTTGAGCTATTCAAGCTGCCATCTTTTGCTGGAAGCTACAAATATAAGATACGTGAGACTTAAAAATGACTAAAATTGCGTATTTTTTTCCTATTAATTGCAATATTTCTGAGACTAATACAGATATCGGCCTATAACTTTAGGATATTATTCATCTTTGGACTAGTAATGTGTGCTGTAGAAAGCAGAACAATAGCAACTATATCCTTTATGGTATGAAATAGTCTTATAGTACCCCCTGAAATCGCAGGAATTGAAGTCCAATTCGGCCGTGAAAATTGTTTTTACCACTTTAAAGGCCATCACCTTATATTTTCTTACACCTACTAGGTTACTCTAACATACTGCATTGCCAAAAGTTACTTCTTGCAAACTTCCGGCAAAACTGTGCCAGCATCTGATACATAAGGACTAAAGTCACAACGCTGTAACAGGAAGACTGGAGCGTTTCTGTTCTGATTTCAAACTGAGAACACTACTTATGAGTGTAAATAGGTTGAATATTTTCAAACAATTTGGTATATAACAATAACAATGTAACAATAAGTTTAGTCACAAATGATGCAAATATGCAAGCATGTATTCACCTAACAAAACTGACATTCCACGAATAAAAAGTTTACATAATTCCACAGATTTACTGTTTTCTCCCTTAAATCTAGAGACCTTAAATAGCAATCCAGCCTCCCAAATAAGTATAATCTACCTTTACTATTGATTTTATGTCATAGTGTTATATACCAAATCGTTTGAAAATATTTTACTTTTAAAATGATGTATAAGTCAATGAACTATATTGGACATAACTATTTTTATCCTGATTTAAAGTTGAGTATTGTTCTTTTGGCCCACCCTGTCTATGTTAAGGTCGTTCCACATTTTCACAAACTTATAGTTTCAACATTTGATTTAATTGAAATATCTATAAAAAGCGTGTTCTGTTGGGATAGTTCTGGTACTTCATCTCGGTGGGTCTAGAATACTTGGTCATCTTATTGTCTTTGTCATTTCAGAATTCAAAAATGCAGCTGATAAAGTGTTGAAAATGTTCTCACGACATCAAGATCATCATGGTGCATGTCACGCCATACTCAGAATACAAAATGTATATAAGTTAAATACAACTGACATCGCCAATGGTATCATCATGAACAATAAAGCAACGGAGCCTCTCTCTGCGGTCGAGTGTCTAGATATAGCAAAAACCTCGACCAAAACAGCATATTATAGACAAGGACTTGATTGGATAAACATTGCCGTTCAGAAAAATCTGTCACTTGCAGATACATTGGAAGCTAAAATAACTACAGCTGATATTTTCCGAATGGTATTTATGCCCCTGCTGTTTATTTATTTATTTTTCTGATGCTGCATATGTTTTATGAATCAGATAATCAATGAGATTGAGCAGAACGCATTTGACTAACTTACTATAGTTTTAAGCAAAACATTAACTTGTGCACGTCGGTGGCGGTGCGCCTTTTTTAGCGCAACGCCAAATTTAGAGAATATCAGTAAAGTGTGCGTATTCGTTTAGCGATTTATTTGATACCTTTCTGATAGTAAAATAAATCTGGTAGGTTTGTTGAATTTTTCTAGCAAAATTTGGCTGCATCCACCCCCCCCCCCCCCCTTCCGTTCGTTTAATTCGATCACCGGGCATGATATCATAGACGGGAACTCTAAGATAGCTTAGCTCAATACTGTAGGTACCAACACAAAATAATAATTTGTTTTATTTTAAAGAAGAACTGTAACAAAAGAAGAGAATGTGTACATTTGTTTATTGTTTTTAAATGATGGAAAGTATTTCTCTCTTATTTATCATCCAAACTTAAATTTTCAATTTGTTCTTTATGAGTTAGATTAGGATGTATGGTGTTCAGTGGTGCCAAGTGTATTGCCTATGAATTAAAAGATGCTTGTCACGACAACAAAAAATCATTTGAAATAAGTTCACATTTTTAAAAATGTACTCCTAAAACATTTTTTGAAATAAAAAGCAACACATTTACATATAACATTTCGATAACATTGTTTAAAAATACAACATAAGCTGAAGAGGTTTGAAATCTACATGAGCTGAGGTTTATGTTAATTGCCCTTTGATTATTTGAGCGTATTTAGACAAGCATGATTGAATTGTCCAAAGGCCTACTTTCATTTTACATTTTATCATTTATAAAGGACTATTCTCGGTTTGGAGAACGAAGTTCATCACTCTAATTGAGCGTTACCTCTGCTTCGGACAAATTTGATTTTTTTTACATAATATAGATTTGAATGTTTTCTTTTGAACAGTCATAACTTAAATGGGCAACAAGGACTGTAGAGAGAAAATTCGAAAAATGTTACTTTTTGAGCTATCAGGTCAATAGTTGGCTTAACATCTTCTTTTGATATACCTTTTTTCTTCAAACGTATGGATAAACTCTCAAGTTCAGCATTAAGAAGTGTAAATTCATTTCAAGGCTTTTTGAAAATATGTTAGACTTGAGATGAAATATCCAAACTTAAATTTATTTTGCCACTGGTCGATGATCGTTGAATGGACCCCCTGCATTAATTGTTGCACCTTTAATTTGGGTGATTTTTTAGCGCAATACACTGATGAACTTATTTTTCGAAACGAGACGTGTATTCTATTGAATTGGTCTACTGCACCGTTACCCCTGCTTCGGACTATTTTGATATTTTTACATCTTTTAGATTTTAATGTAGTCTTTTGAATATCAATAATTTAATTTGGGTGATATTTCTTTATTTTTCATAAAAAATTATTACACCAGGACTTATCCCTTTTGAAAAATTAAAGTTTAATTATCCAGGGGTTTCTGCTGTGGATTCTCATTAAGATTATTACATGTTGTTTTGCAGGACGGTAACTTTACAGAGGCAATGGCAATAATTCGCGATATACAAGCCGACATCCAATTCAAAGGTTCAGTATTTATTATGCACTATAATATTCCATCCATGACAATAATGAATTATATTTACGTTCAAAACAATAACTACAATGCCATATGAACGATGTATTGGTATATGTTGTGTCCAATTTTAAATTTATGTTTTAGTATGTTTTACATACAGTATATTCCTCATACATACACATGAGATGCAATACTAGGCAGAAATATATACTGTCACATGTGAACTTGATTGACGAACAATAATACACTATTGAATTTCACTGAAGTATATGGCGGGCATTAGATGCCTAGTGACACTGGCGGATTAGGGGGGGGGGGGGGGGGCCCAGGGGCCCGCCCCCCCCCCCTTGGGTGGGCCCAGAAAAAAAAAATTGGGCCCAAAAAAATTTTTGGGCCAAACAAGGCCTTCAGGCCCCAAAAAGTGGGCCTTTTTGGTCATTACTGGGCCTTTTAAGGCCTTATTTGTTAATTTCAGGCCAAATTTTGAAGAAAATGGGCCTCAAAATTTCAAAATTTGGGCCCACTTTTGGATTTTAGGGGCCCAAAATTTTTTCCCGCGCAAGCGCGGACGTTTTTTCTCTGACCTGAAATTTGGGCCCCCCCCCCCCCCCCCTTGTTGGTTCCTGGATCCGCCCCTGCCTAGTGATAAACTCACATACGATCGTACATGTGATCTCAGGATTAAATCAACGTGTGTCTGAATTTGCATTCTCTTTTATATTTCATGTAAATGTCATCTATAAAACTGTCTGATCTTGCATTTGTCTTGACATCCAAGGCATATCCGTAGATTGCGCTTTACCAGCGATGTTATGTATACGTGTAAGAATTTGACATCGTAAATATTGCAATTATTTCTCTTTAGATGGACTTAATGGTGGTACCTGATTTGAAATTTCATCGCCATCGCCACATGGCATTTCCCCATTTTCCAAAGCTTACTGCATGAGGGTTTATGCCAAAGTTTTTCATATGAATAACATTTTCCAGGGAATGGATTTATGTACAATCTATAAATGTTTAATAATTCTTAAAGGATGTCTTGTAAATGTGTGGTCAACTGCTCCATTAAATGATAAATTTTTATCCAAGCAATGAGCACACGAGAAAATTTGATTTAAACCAAAGTCATAATTTCGGAAAGCATACTAGTAATCTGAATCCATTCGTTCCGACCGTAAATCCAATCGCCGCATATTTAAATCACAGCGATACTTATATTCTTCAGTGTACGAAATGTTGTATCTTATAATTTAATTCTAGTACGGGAAACTACCCTACATTGTCAGACTATATATATTAAACATATACTCTGTACTCTCTTCCCTCGGTTTGCTATAGTTTTGCAATGACCCCATTGGAGACAATGCACTTAGTGTGTGCTATAAGTCCAGGAAATCCCAAAATCTATGATGGGGGGGGAAATACCAAAGTATGACCCATATGCATTGTAGATTGGTTCATTGGCTATTCATTTTTTTTACTTGTCTCCGGCACGAAGGTCTTGCCGCAAGGCACAACAGTAAAAAAAATAAATAAAAGATAAATAGATGTTGGAGAAAATTATACGTGATTTTGAAAATGTGAAAATGAGATATTTCGGGAGTACTATTCTCCTCTTAACCAAAAGCAAGACTCGCTAATTCCTCGCCTAATTTTCTATTATTTCAGATAATTTGACAGAGTATCACAAAAGTAGAATTAAACTAGCAGAAGAAGGTACAAAGGGACCAGGATCTTTTGATTATGATTGGCTAGACGCTTATGGTGCACTATGCAGAGGCGAAATATTGAAGGTAAATTAATATAGATATCACAAACAATAAAATATAAACAATAAATGTGATAAACTGGGGGTAAAGCGTAACTTGGTGTGTTTGATTGTGGTCACCAAGTGTGTAATAAATAAATATATTGAACTGGTTATTCCAAACTAGCGAGACATAGTATCACTTTCTGACCAATCGGAAAACAGTTTTCAGTAGATGAATGTCAGTGTTGCATGTCGCTGATCACAGGGGATAACAAGTGTTATCACGCGTATCAAAAATTGATAAACGAAATGGATACTCGTTCTCGTGGTTATGTTAGTACTAGAACCTTTGCAAAAAGTTTGAAATTTATTTGTTTTAATTCAAAATTGGGACATAAATGTGTAAACATTCGTGAATGGAAAAACACGGTTGAGAACAGTCAGAGTACAGATGGAACGCCGAAAATCACAACCAGTTGCAACCAATAATCTAACGCTCAGTTGTCATAAATTGATCTATTATGGCTTGCAAATTGTAAAGGTCTTCTTACACCTACCGGAATACTCGTCGGGGAGCGTTCACTTACGATAGATGGAGTCTTGCACTCTACCTTTAACCCGACTTAGACGTACACTCCCCTCCAAAAGTTTTGCAGCCTTAGCTCCCTCATTGAACTACGTGTTAACGCCTAGTTGTGTCCAAATTTTCCCAATTTTTTTTCCATCACAATAGGTCGAAAATTGATGATAAATTTGATTTATCGAAAATCGTCATTCCCATGTAAAAACCAAAGGGAAATGATGGGTTCGGGGCAAATCTGATATCAGGATTCCATCCAGTAAAATATTCACCAAAAAATATTTGTATGTAGAAATTGAATTGTGTATCTTTTTGTACGCTAAGTGTTCAGTTTACTTTATGAATACTAAAGTTACAGAGCTTCAAAGTAGTTTTTCGCCTCCTGTGTTATTTCAATGGGAGGATTTAAAAAAATAATTTGACTTTGAAGACCTAAAACGTTTTTAAACCTGAAGAAATGTATTAATTTTTTATTAAAAAAAGTTGACTATCTCACTTTTATTTTTTGCAAGAACTCGGATGGATGAATATTCTGTCGTATGACTTGCGGCAAACATACCATGTCCCATTGGTTTACATGGGAATGCCGATTTTCAAAAGTTTATCATATTTATTATCAATTTTCGACCTATTGTAGTTGTGGAAAAAATTGGAAAATTGAAGGCATTGGAAATAAAGTCAAATAATATTTCCATCAATATTATAAGTATTTTCCTAGCAAGTTATGTAAATAAAAATTCAAACATAAAGATGTTTTAACACGTAGTTCAAGAGGGAGCTAAGGTTGCCAAACTTTTTGAAGGGACTGTACATCTGATTTATGTTACACACAACAATCCCAAAATGTAGCAAGAAGTCTATTAGTTCAATAATCATCATGTGAATCGAAAGGATAAAACAACGCGATTCTGTTCATCCTTCTACTAATCTATGGTGTGTGACAATGAATATATTTAAACTAGAAATGACACTTTTACAGACTCCGAAAGAAGTTTCGCAACTAAAGTGCCGCTATAAAGTAGGTTTCAATCCATATGCTCCAACCAAGGAGGAAGTGCTTAGTATCTCACCTTGGATATCTATGTTTTATGATGTCATAACTGAAAAAGAGAGTGAATTTATTAAAGATAAAGCATTGCCAGAGGTAAAACATTCGATATTTTTGCGATTTGTAGATAAGGGTAATTTTATAACTTAAATCTTGGACTTTAAAGTCCATGCTGAATTGAACTTAAAATATTGCCGCCAGCTCGTGCAAATGGAATTGAAATAAAAACTAATTATAATTATATTGCTGTAAGTTATTGATTTAACTGAAACTATCACTCTTAAATGTATATTTATAATAAGTATATTTATTTATTTAGTTAACAAGGGCGTTTGTTGGAGACCCCGAAGGTTCAGTTGCACATGACAATAGAATTGGTCAATTGTAAGTATGCTTCAAGAATATGCAATAGACTAGATGCGAGTAGAAAAAATCTTGATTTACGCCATTAAATATTCAAAATTCAGTCAAAGCGATGTTATATTTGAAATCTACATGTAAAAGTACATCTAGAAATATGGTTTTGAAAATTGTTTATCAAGTTTGAAAATTTAATTATTTTTGAAAGTGACTTCTGGTTCGGGTTGATTCTCCAGAGAGCCCATGTTACAAAATCACAAAAAGTGAAATATCTTTTCTTGTATTGGTCAGATAATATTTTCATTTACTGGACACATTTTGATTTGCATAACTATTAAATACATAAGGGTTATTTGAAAATTGAACCACTTAAACAGATGTAATTTAAGTTAAAGGGAACTTTCTACTATACCTCAATTACAATTGGTCGAAAATTAATGATAAATTTGATGAATTTTTGAAAATCGACTTTCCCATGTTAACCAATGGGAAATGGTAGGTTTGCCACAAGTCATATGACAGAATATCCATCTATCCGAGTCCTTGCAAAAAATACGAGTTAGGCAGGCAAATGAATTTGCTTACTTTATTTAACAAAAAATTGATATGTTTCTACAGGTTCAACAAAGTTATAGGGCTTTAAAGTCAAAATTGTTTTTCAAAAAACCTCTCCCATTGAAATAACACAGGAGGCGAAAAATTATTTTCAAAAATGACTTTGAAGCGCTGTAACTTTAATATTCATCAAATAAACTAAACACTTAGTGTTCAGAAAAGTTAGACAATTCAATTTTCTATATAAAAATATTTTTTGCTCAATATTTTACTGAAAAGATATCCTGATTTCTGATTTGCCCCGAACCCTCCATTTCCCATTGGATTACATGGGAATGACGATTTTCAAAAATTCATCAAATTTATCATAAATTTTCGACCTATTGTAATTGAGGAAAAAAATTGAGAAAATTTGGAGGTATTGGAAATAAAGTCAAGTTACGTTTCCATTAATATTATAAGTTATTTCATCGCCGGTTAAGTAAATAAAAATCCAAACGTAAAGAGGCTTTAACAGGCAGTTCAATGGGGGAAAAAGGTTGCCAAACTTATGGAGGGGAGTGTAAGTTGTTTAACACCGATGACGGTTGTGTTACGTCCATATTTTAAAGGCCTCGTCTAGTTTGAAACTTTTCATGTCTTGAAAAACCGTTTCAGACATTTTTTGAAAAATAGAAAAAATTGTTCATCTTGTGATTTTCAAATATTTGAATTTCCCGGCATTTTAGAAACAAAATTTAAAATATTTAGATCATTAATCACTGTAAAATACTTTGTTTTCTTCATTGAGTATATCAGACATCATTAAAAAACTATTCAATGATTTTATGCATATATACAAACTTTTAAAGCATTTTTGAAAAGATACTCGGGTGACAAAACAATAGTGGTGACCTTTTATCGACATTGATTTTACCAAACTATTCTTAAGTCTATGGTTGTTGCCAAAAAGTTGTGCGGTTACAAAACGTGTTAATGCATGTAAATACCAGTCCCGTTTTAAGGAAAATGGTGGAATTAATAAAGTGTTCTATAAATCTATTTTATGGTGTTTGGTCTGGGGATCTCAGAATCCGAAACTTGTGTGTCAAAAATAAGATTAAAATGGTACACGGTGAATATGTTTAGGGCGTGGCTATATGACCAACGTCACATACGGATTCATCGACTCAGCCACAGAGTTGCTGAAATAACAGGTTTACACACAAAGTATAAGACAAGTCTATCGAACTCAGAACCATTCCAGGTAAGTAATGGTTAGGGTTAAATATTATTGTGGCAAATAATGTACTGTCAATTAAATCAATCAATCAACGAATTACTCAATATTTTGAAAATTTATGATAACGTTTTACTTTCTTATTTATTTATTGGATATACTTATAATGATAAATAATTAATAAAACGTACTATAATAGCATAAAACTATGATATGGTATCCACATTTTTATTACTTTACGTATATACATAATTAACGTATACATAAAAATGTTGGTCGAGACTTGACATAATGTATGCAGTGTCATTCAAAATTGAAACTTCTGATTGGGTTCGACGCCGAGATGCCCGGATATGACCGAGCAAAAGCCGGAATTCACGTGATTTTTCAAGGGGCGGAGTTTAAGCGAGATTCATCGAGACTTCTTCGTGCCAATCGTGTCAATCCCTGCATTGCTTATATTAAGTATAAATATAATTTCTAAAGAGGATTGCTGTGTTAATTCTCTTGTGTAGGTTGTGAATTATGGAATGGGAGGACAGTATGAACCACATTATGATTTTTACGAGGTACGTACATTCTATCTTGTGATCAAAATGTGAAAATACATAAAATTCCGCCAATGTAATCAGGTGTAAAAGGGTAGGAGGTCCTATCAATTTATGGTCCTACTCTCCATTGATTTATATGGTGACATGAATACTATACAACTCTTTCCCTCATTATCTTATACGCAATCAGGGCCAAAAAGGGGAAAAGAAAGGGGACCATAATCCCTGGGGGACCATCATTTCTTTCACAAGGTACTAGTACCGGTCTACTATAGTATTATAATTTCTATTTAATTTGATGGCTGACCTTGACCTGACATTATTCTCAAAATGAACCATTGTTTATTAGGATGTGGCAGTACTCGACCAAGTACCAGACTTCTTAAAGAATACAGGTGACAGAGTTTCTACATTTTTATTTTATGTAAGTATAAAATGTTATATAATTTGTGTTTTCCATTGTGTATGTGTTTCTCATAGCCACATGGAACTCGGTGATTTATAAATGTGATAGATGTATTTAATGGTTCTTCATCTGCTAAGTAGACCGTAACAATAAAATGTATTCATTTCACTCGAATGTTTTCTAGTTGAATGACGTTGAAGCTGGGGGTGCAACAGTCTTTCCATACGCCAAGGTTCATGTCCCTGCAGTTAAGGTAAAACAACTCAAACGGGTCAAATAAACTACGTTGTATCATGTTCCTTCTAAATCAGCTAAAAACATGACCTTTCTACGAGAGCTGTAAAATGGGTTAACAACAAATGTTAAGTGACGTCATGTGAAAGATGCTACTAAAATTGTTATGGTAATTGAAAAGTATTTGGTATGGTTATAACAGACAAACATGACAATGAAACATGAATCTGACCTACTTTTGTCACCTTTTTAGGTGTATCTTTTATATAAACAGATCATTTTTTATTCAAAGGGAGCGGCAGCGTTTTGGTTCAACGTCAAACGTTCTGGTGAAAATGACGCAAGAACTCTTCACGCAGGCTGCCCCGTTGTTCTCGGACAAAAATGGAGTTTGTATTTTTAGTTATATAATCATTTTACAGGGTGCCCAAAAACAATACCGAAGAAAAGTTGATTAACTCGGTCAATCTTGCATATCCTGGACATTGCAAGTTCAATAAAAATGTTGTTGTGGAACTTTGATGATAACCTGCATCAAAAGCTTCAGTACCTTACAAAACGTGCTCTAAATGGCGCCTCTCTATGTACAATTGAATCCTGCGAACGAAGGTTGGTGAGCCTACTACACACATCAGTGGAAGACATGGATTCGGGTAGTTGTTGCTCTCTTTTAGATCAATAATCGTTTGAGGCAAGTCAGTTAGCACGTTGTCTTTGAGAAAACCCAGCAGATAAAAATCTGGGGGATTGAGAACTGAATTGAGATCTGGCGAAAAAGCCGTCCGTGTTTTGCGTTCTGCGACTGTGATGAGCTGACCTGACCAAAGTGTTACCAATGCCACTCCAGCGTATCATTTGTGGTGTGGGGTGGTACATTGTCTACGTCGATCTTTAGATACCCTTTCCAGTGCCTAGTGATTTTAAATACTTAGTGAAAACTTGAATATAACGGTCCTTGTTGATCGCATATGCACGGTGATCGCACATCCCCAGTTATCTTCGAATCAATAGGGACCGATCATTCCATTAGCATTTGAAGCATGTTTTGTAAGGTACTGTAATTTTTGACACAATAGACAGATAATCAACAAACGTTCACAACAAAATTCACATTGAATGTACTAGATGATTCTGAAATGTCAAGGCAGAACATGCAAGACTGACCGAGATAATCAATTTCTGTTCGGTCCTGTTTTTTGACACCCTGTATAAGTATATGATTTAATATGCTATAATCGATTCATTTAGTTGATTCATCACGATAACACTTACCTCATTATGTATCTTCTTTGAGGTAGGTGTTATGTAATCATGATGTTTTGGTTATGTAGAAGTAAAATAAGTTGACAAATTTACTGACTTCTTTCAACAAACTTTTTTTACGGGTCTTACCAATTTTCAAGTCAACTCAAATCATTCGTGCTTGAAAAATATACCAGATAAATAATCTAAAGAATTCAGCAAACCTCCATAGATATACATGTACAATGATATTATTGTTACGGAGCAGTATATCCAAGTTACGTTTAACGCCAGTCAGTGTCGTATGCTCGTTTTATATATTTGTTGTATTACAGTTGCAAACAAATGGATTCGTGAACGAGGGCAGTGTGATGTTAGACCATGCGGTTTGACGCCTGATGCAGAGGAGGACTTCGATCTGTAATAACCTAATTGAAACTATCCAGTGGCATTGTAAAGGGTACATGGAATTTCATTCAATATATTTAATAAAAACCATTATATTTCTGAATATTTTTTGTTATTCTGATACCTGTCTTCAATCGATAGTTGTGATAAATAAAAGTAAAATGAATAGTGCTTTATAGAGAGAGAGTGGTGCAAAAACATGGATCCCAAAAAGTCATGTATACAGACTCATCTGTCACTGATGGACAATCCTATACAGATTTTTCATCCTGAATCAAATAATTGTTACATAATGATTATAAAAGGACCCAAGTTCTTCTCAGTATTTTCACATTATTACACACTGGGTTAAACCCTAAAGGTTCCTTCAATTTAACGCCCATGCGGTTATAAATGAGGAAATGTGTTGTTTTGGACCACCCTGTATATTCCTTTTAATCTAAACCTGTCCACCTGGATTCAGGTATGTGTCATGTCTATGTATCCCAAATCAGAATTATCCACGTCATCCATGTATTGATGGTAGTGTCTTTTGTAGTCTTCTAATTGTGCAACTGTAAACCAGTCTTTCCATGTTCCTATTTTTCCTGGAAGATTAATACACACGCAGTGTAACAATTAAAACCACCTCGGGTTCTTATCACTAGTAGGCTATAAAGATATGATCAAAATTTGCAAATTATGTTGATAGTTAAACAAATATATTACCTTTATCATATTGCAAGCCAAGTCCACCCTTTTTGTGATATTGCTCGTATGCAGAGTTCTTTTGCTGCATTGTACAAAGGTCTGTCTTCTCTTTATGCCTCATTAATTCTGTTTCATTGTATGTCGTGCCTGGTCTAAGAAACGATGCAAGCTCTCTGATGTATTTCAGTGGATCCTGGAATTACCAACTAAGAAATATCCTAGTGTATACAAGGCACGGGGTGAACAATATCGTACCTAAAACATAGCAGTGTTAGCTTGTTGACCCAGAAAGCAAGATGGCCCCCGAAAAGTTAATCAGTTCTTGAACTTCTTACCACGTAACATTTGAAGATATTTGATGCAATTCTGTTAATTAGTTTCCCTGGAATCGTGATGACAAGATATATCTGAAAACATCCCAAATGGCCGCCAGAATGCAAGATGGCCATCGAAAAGTTAATCAGCTCTAGACCTCCTAACCATGTCACATGTGTAAAAAAGTTGAAAGTAAATCTATCACGTGGTTTTCCTGGTATCGCGATGAAAGGTTTATATAATACTGAGTTTTCCATGGGGCTTTGTATAAAAAACCGCCTACCTCATACCCACCTACCCACGTAATTGGGACATGATACAGTTTTTGCAGGGTTCAATTTTAAAGATCTTAGTTTATTAAATCTTAGTCTATGATGAATTATTTGTAATGGCTCTTGATAGCAAGTTGCTACAACATCCCAACTGGGTTCGATTCCCACTCGGGGCATCGAATTAAGCACACTTTCTTTCAATTTCTTTATCTGGCTTGTTGGACCTATGCTCGCGGCCGTTAGTTATTTATTCCCCTGGGACGCCCTCGGGTCATTACACATTAAAATGCATCCATATGCCTTTATTTATGGATCTATCATCTGTCTAGTCATAAAATAAAGCCGGAATTGTAGAAATGTTAATAATTTGAGCTATTTTGAGATTTAATAATCTTTAAAATTGAACCCTTCAATGACTGTATCATGTTCCACGAAGGTGGGTATGAGGTAGGAGATTTTTATACAAAGCCTTTCCATGGCGTGTATAAAATTCAAATCCAGAGTCAATACATTCCATTAATCTATCTATTGTGATACGAATACAGTACATGTAGGTTCAAGACTTCATTATGGCTATCTTGGGCCAACAGCTGATCATAATCTATGTTGAGTGAAATGCATCAGACTTAACGGTTCAAGTATTCGTTTTGACTATCTTGCTTTATATACCACATGGCTACTTACATGTCTTAAGTTTTCATAATTCAGTAAGAATATATTTTTGTTGTTCCTCGATTCTTGTAGCCAACCTTTAGTATGTTTTTCCCATGTGCCCCTTGGTACTACAAATACAGTAAAATACAGGGCGTATAAAAAACGCAACAATTAGTTATCTCGTAAAATCACAAAACTAGCGATGACTACATCAATTTCATTCAATGTACCATAAAGCCACGTCTCTACTCTTTGCAATGATATGTCATTCATTCACATGTGGTAATGGTTAGGTGAGAAATCCTTCCATTTGCACAGTGGGTCAAAATCGGCTCTGCACCAAGTTTTAGATATTGCAAAAATAAGTGCAAGGGCTAAGTGCCAATGGAAGTTCCCCTGACTCGAATTGTTGTGACTTTTTCTTTTGGAGCTATCTCAGGAGCGTCTGTGCTTACAATTCCTTCACCAGATTTTGCAAAACCTCGAGAATCTTTATGTGCAAGGAAGTGGTGGCAATTTGGAGGGGTATAGGTGATCTTGCAAGAGTATGAGTATGAACACTTAACTGTCTATGCCACACCTGTCACACCTTCTTCCAATAGCCCCTATGCCCCTTGTACTGACTTTTGCAATTTTTGAAACTTGAGTCCGAACTGAATTTTGCCCCACTTTGCAAAATTAATGATTATTCGGCCAGCCATGACTCCCTGTGAATGAATGATATTCCATTGCAAAGAGGAGTAATTTGGCTTTTTGGTACATTGAATGAAAAGGATGCAGTTAGCATTGGTTTTATGTTTTCTTCCAATATTGCATCGGGCTCCGTACATTGACTTTTGTGATGTTTATAACTTGGTCCCAAGCTAATTTTGGCCCATTTTGCAAATGGGATGATTACTCGCCCAACCATGACCAAATATTAATGAATGATATATCATTGTAAAGAGGAGACACATGGCTTTATGGTGCATTGAATGAAATCAATGCTGTTATCACTGGTTTTGTGCTTTTCCGAGATGACTATCTGTTGCGTTTTTTTTATACGCACTGTATATTAGCTGTATGTTTTCGAGAGTTTGGGGTTTCTCTTTTTACTGATCTGTTATAAATGATATCGCTACTGAAAATAAAAGATTGTATCGTAAAAACATTGTCTTGGTACCAGACATATACAGGATGATCCAAAAGTAAGATCAAAGATATTGCGATTTTAATATTAAACTTATAGTTTAACCAAACATCATGAAACTTGGCACATATGTTCCACCAACATTACGGAGTTGCTCCCTAATATGAATGACTCATTTATTCAATATTTGATTGGACGATATGATTTTTTGCTATGATAACCTAATGTGAAGTCACGCCGGGCCAAAGTAGAAAAAGGAAGGAAAATGTTCAAAAATTATGTTTATCTTTAGATTCGGAGTAAACCATTTAAGAATTCTTCAGTTTTCTACACAGAACATTAAGGAACATGACAAAAATACCTTTGTCTTGGAAATAAAGTGAAAGGAAACCATCCCTAGATCCATCATACTGAAAGGCATCTTGTCTCTGTATAAACTTGTACCATGAAACCATTGCATCTCTTGGATCCCTCACGAGGTAGACCACCTTAGAACCCTTCTTGAAGATGTCTTCTGGAGCAAACTCACGTCTAAGATGACTTGATATAACTCTTGGCTGAGGAAAATGTTTTATACCATCTGTATTGAGGTCAAAAACACTGAGATCTTTCTGTAGGGGTCCAACGAAGCTGTCAATACCATGCAACAGTCGCTGAATGATCTCCCAGACCCAGTGTGAGCCTAGAAATTAATAAATCGCTGTGACAGGAATGTATAGATAAAAGTATAATACATTTGAACGGGGTATTTGGCAATTTGTCCATATATTGGATTTGTACCCACATTGCCAGATAAAGGGCTCATACTTTTTTGCTGATGGTATAAATAAAGTTTCGGTGGGAAAGGGAATGATTAGAAAATTTAAAAGATAGGACAACCAAGGTCGTAAATCCAAGAATCAAGGTAATATCTGACTACAATTTGACGTTAATTATGCATCACATTTACTTGAATCCGAAAATAACTTCAAAAACAATCATTACAAGTTGTGGGCTCAATCGAGAATCTTGCTGTGTTTCTTTTTAACCTCAAATGAGATTTCTGAGTAGTTTTTCTAATAAAAACAGATTTCCTCACTTTTTTCTTATTTGCTTATGATACGTCTCACATTATTTGGCGGGAAATGATTTTCAAATATGCAAAACACCTTGTCTATACATATTATATCTCAGAGCCCACTGTAAAGAATGCCAAACCCGGTACTATTATTCGAGGCATAACTAAAACCATTGTTAAATTGGTCCTTCAAATAGAATTGTTTTGACTTTGTTCGAATCCAGAGGCCTAGAGTATATAAGGGCCTCCTATAAGCCTTATCATTGAAAATATTTATTGATGCCATTTAGTGAACAAATACAGAAGTGATTCTTCGCTCTATCTCCTGCAAACAAATTTTTATCATATCAATTACAGCGTATCACAAAAATATAATGGACAATTTAGTCAACCCCTTACATAGATTAGCTATAAAATTAGAATAGAAAGAATGTCATGCTTATATTTATATTATACCACAGGTATGCTATGGTACTGTATTACCTGATCTTGGCCAGGACATGATCCAAACATCATCAACATGTGCTGTAAATGTCCTGGCATCACTGTGTATGGAGCTACGGAACACACATTCGTGTGCTACTCCATCTATATAAAGAACCTTCATTGTTTTCCCATCACAGTCTTTAACATATTCACATTCTTCATTGATGTAAGAAGTAAGCTCTTTCATTTCTAATTCTTGTTGGAGGAGTTTCTCATCTTTTGTCGTATTCTCATCCTGATTTGAGTCCATTGTGATTAATCAGTTGCTTTGTAATTAATAAACAATGACAAAATAATATATCTGAAACAGTTGAATAACAGTGACACCATAAGTAAAAATTCAATCTATTTAATCCAAATCATTTAAAACGTACATCTAATTCCTTACAACACACCTCTCCTCGATTGTTTAGGTGTACTTTATAAGTAAACAGCTGATTGTACTACATGTTTGATATGACCTTAACATACACAACAGATTATAACTCTACGTGTCCTTTAGAATTTAAGTTAACAACCTAACTTATAAAATAGGGTAATTGTGATAATATGGTTATAATGTGCCACGATCGATGGTGGTTAGTGTGATTTTAAGGTGCCACAAAGGAGATCAGTGTGATTATATGCTATAATTATGAAGAACATTGTGATTTTAAGATGTCATGTTGGAGAAAGGTGTGATTATAAGATGCCATAATGGAGGACAGTGTGGTAACAGGCTGCCATAATAGAAAATTGCGGAGAACAGTGTGATTATTCAATTCTGTAGTGAATAATAGTGTGATTATAAGGTATCACAATGGAGAATAGTTTGATTATAAGATACCATTTTTGATATTGCTGTGATTATGACCCGGGATTATGAGGTACCATGATGGCAAAACAGATGGCAGAAGTTTTAAGTTGGAGCATAGAAATAGTCTCTTTAAGCGAATTTATGAGAGGAAGATAAATAATGTGTCTTATAAAATTCTTGCTCAATTTAACTTCAAACTTCTGCATAATATCATTGTGGCAAAATGGTTTCTAATTGGCATGTAGGTGTAAATAGAAATTGTATGAAATGTAGAGAGACGCAAGATATGAAACATTTGCTATTTGACTGTGAATTAATAAAACCAATATGGGAGAAAATTTAAAAAATACTAAAACTTAATATCAGATGGCGGGACATTGTACTGGGAATATAAAAATCCATGAAAACAAGATCTCAATGTTCAGAGACTTATCATTGACTATTGTTGTTTACATTGTTTATTCAAACTGGATAGCTTTCTCGGAAAAGGCCGATCTCTTTATAAATCTAAACTTCAAGTCAAAAATAGCTTGCAACATTGTATTTTTCGCTAATGTATATTAGTGTTGTCGCGATTAATCGATACATCGCGATATACATCGCCAAAGCTGATTCTGGCGATGCATCGATGTCTGAAACAAAACATCGATGTTTTTGAAAAAAATTAATTTGCTAAAAATCACCCTTTCTTATCTTATTTTGACGCAAATCGCTTACCTTTCTCATGTCTTATTTCATTTTTCAATGTTTTCTGATATTCTTTCGCTTTAAAACTGTTTTAGCTATTCGAAATGAACCATTAATCCGTAAAAAATTACTTTACTTTCATTTCACCTTTCTAGAAGTTCCCGGATGTACCGGATGTTCGGTATTTTAGTGCATTAGCGTTCGGTATTTCAGTGCACTTTTCTCGGACTTTTTCTCGATGTACATCGCGATGTGCATCGATGTTTACTACTGAAAATTGCCGATGCATCGATGTACGATTATGGCACATCGCGACAACACTAATGTATATGAACATTCAAATTGTAATCATGCTTCATTCTTCGCTAGGCATTTCATACTATTTTTAGATCAATTTGTTTTATAATTGAACTGTATTATTCATGTATTTGTACATATGTTAAAATTTAATTTTTTTTTTTAAAATGATGGCAAAACAGTGTGATTACATTGTGTTATGATTGAAAAAGTTGTGATTATATCGTGTCATAATGGAGAATAGTATGATTATAGGGTGCCGCAATGGAGATTATAGAGTGATTCTATTTGTACAGCTTCAGTATTTAGTTTGTCATTTTTCCAAATTGCTGAAAAACTAGTTCACAAGCTAGCATCTACAATAACTTCATCTGGATCACCACACACTTGACCATATAACAAGAAACCCATTTTCTTTATTTTTAGAACCTGTAATTGAAGATGAAATCAAAACTTATGATAAGACTCAATGATAAAGCTCCAGGAGTTGATGATATAAAACCAATAGTTATAAAACATGCAAGGTACAACCTTGTGACACCATTTACTCATATAGCAAACCTTTCCTTACAATAGGTGTACTTCCAGAAAAGATGAAAATAACCAAATTAGTAGCACTTTTCAAAAAGGGTGATAAATCAAAATGTGAAATTATAGACCAATTTCCTTATTAAGTGTATTTTCCAAACTTCTCGAAAAAGTAATGCACTTAAGAATTTCTAAATTTATCAAAAATAATAAGTTAATGAATGAAAAACAATTTGGATTCAAAGAAAACAACTCAACATAGATGGCTCTCTTAACTTTTCTGGAACAAATTCGGTTTTCAATGGATAATAATAAGCATATTCTATGTGTTATTTATATATTCCTTTTAAACCAATTCACTTGGGATTTCTTATTGAGAATTTCAGGTATGTGCCTTGTCTATGTATCCCAAATCAAAAGTATCCATGTCATCAATGTATTGATGGTAGTGTCTTTTGTAGTCTTCTAATTGTGCAACTGTGAACCAGTCTTTCCATGTTCCTATTCTTCCTGGAAGAATAATGGACATCCATTGTTACAATTATATAGTAAGCACCCCATTGGTATTGAAGTAATGAGGGTGGGTAGACGTTCAAAACATGTAGAACTAAAGATATGGCCGGCCCCAAATATGGAAATTATGCTAATTGTTATACACGTGGATAGATGATATATGAGGACTACCTTTATCATATTGAGTGCCAAATCCGCCTTTTTGTAAAATGGCTCGTATGCAGAGTTCTTTTGCTGCATTGTACAAAGGTCGGTCTTCTCTTTAAGCCTCATAAGTTCTGTCTCTGTATACGTCTCGTTTGGTCTAAGAAACGATGCAAGCTCCTTGATGTATTTCAGTGGATCCTGGAAATACCAACCAAGAATATATTCCAACGTATACTGGAATGCTGGCTGTTGCAGGGAAATGGATTAAATTAATGCATATAGTTAAGGATGGGGTGTTCCATTGTTGAGGTTTAAATATAATATTGAGTTACACAAGGCGTATATGCTGTAATATTAAAATCCGGACTCATCACATTCTTTAATTGATATAATTGAGAATTTACTATCGCATTACTCTCTTCACTCCTATGGCCGTCACCTGACTAGAATATATTTTGAGGAAAAATACAATACACGTTCAAGACGTCGTTATAATTATATATGTTGCTTTGTATAACACATGGGCCTAGCCAGGGGGGGGGGGGGGTGCGATGGGTACACACTGCACCCTTCCCCACACATCCTCACATAAAAGAAAAAAGTAATTTAGTAAAATTCGTTGAAAATCATTATCAAATTGTGGTTTGATGTCCTTAGAATGCACCAATTACCTCCGTACCCCCCCCCCCCCTGGAACTACGGTAGCTTCGCTCATAGTGATACAAACCCAAATGATCGCACTCCCTTGACAATTGCTGACTACGCCCCTTATAGCATATGGCAACTTACATGTCTTAAGTCTTCATACTTCAGGAAAAATATGTTTTTGTTGTTCCTCGATTCTTGTAGCCAACCTTTAGTATGTTTCTCCCATGTGCCTCTTGGTACTACAAATAGAGTAAATCAAGTGATCTGGAATAAGGCTGTCCTGGTTCCTATTTTTGATAGTTCGAGGTTTGTTTTAATATGGTCTATTATAAAGCTTATTGTCTATTGATACCAAATATCATATACTTGTACTTATATATGTATATAAGAGTCTTTCATAATTAATACTAGATATATATACAGGAGATGAGTCCGACCTTTAGATTTGGAGTCAACCATTTAAGATTTCTTCAGTTTTTTTACAATGAACATCATGGAACATAAAAACATACTTTTATCTTGGAAATAAAGTGAAAGAAATCCATTCCAAGAGCCATCGTACTCGAAGAAATCATGTCTCTGTATAAATTTATACCAAGACACAATTGCATCTCTTGGGTCCCTAATGAGGTAGACAATCTTAGAACCCTTCTTGAATAGTTCCTGTGGTGAAAACTCACGTCTTAGATGACATGATATAACTCTTGGCTGAGGAAAATGTTTTATACCATCTGCATTTAGGGCAAATACACTTAGGTCTTTCTGTATGGGTCCAACGAAGCTGTCAATACCATGCAATAGTCGCTGAATGTTCTCCCAGACCCAGTGGGAGCCTAGAAATAAATCGCTGTGACAGAAAAACACATTATAAATGTAGATAAAAGTTTGAACGGAGAATAAAATGAATTCATACCCATATTGCCAGAAACCCGTTACCCCACAAACATATAACATTCATCCGAGTCTCACATGAGCATTGAAAAGCATTGAGTAGCTTTCTATTAAGGCCCGGTCACACCGCCTAAACGTTGCTGGAGCGTTCCTTGAACGTTGAAAAAAATCACCAACGCTCGTAAACGTTCACCAACATTTAACAAAAGTTGGCATCCGTTAAAGCAACGCTGTAAACGCTCGGCCAACGCGGATGTTTCTTGAGTGGCCATCCTAACGCTCCAAAAGTTTTGAGCTGCTCAAAATATTGCGAGCGTTGAAAAAGGGACAATTTTACGCCCTGGCAAAGTTTATCACCGCTCCACCAACGCCCAGTCAAAGTTTGGCACCGCTAGACGCAAGTTCGTGGACGCTTGAATCCGCTAGACCAACGCAGAAATCTTAAACGCTGGACCACCGCTGCTTCGCCAGCGTTGCCCGGGCGGCGATTAAACGTTGCACAAACGTCGGTGGAGCGGTTGTTAGCGTTTTATCAGCGTACATGGGGTTGTTGGAACGGTGTCGGACGTTGTCGCAGCGTTCCATGGCGGCGATGAACTTTGCTTTGGCGTTGGCATAGAGGTGTCGGAGCGGGACCAGAATTTGGCTATAAATACGTGGAGAAATGCACCACTGTGTAGAACACTGTGGAGACACTTGTGCATTTTACATTTGATATATATTCATGTCTGGCATTTCAATTTTTTGCATTGTAAATTCCTAAATTAAGCGCTCAAAGTTTGTGATTTTGGATTTTAAAAAGGTGAATTATGCGATTTTTGTTTTTCATTAAATGTTAATACAAATAGACTCTTACTGAGACATTTATTCAAATATAGTATATACCTAGTCTTTTCACGTCAAGCAATTCAATAAATTATCTGTGAATTTTCTGCGCAGCTTGTAAAATGTTGCACTCGTCATGGTATTATACAAAAAGTTGATGCGCGCACAGCAATGCAAAAATTTGTCATGCGTCATGATTATTACTTTGCTGTAAATGTTATGTGACATTGTTAAAGCAATTTGAACGTAAATCGGTTCCAAGTAATGGAAATGCAACGATTAAATTGTGATATGTTTGTTTGAAATGATATGAGAGATTATTAAAGAAAATTGTAATGTTATTCATTCTTAATGTCATATTACATTAATAGAAGCACTTTAGATTTAAAACATTTCTTCTTTAATCCTTGAAGGACTTTTGTTAAAGGTGCAACAATTAGTGCAGAGGGGCCATTCAACGATCATGGACCAGTGCCAAAATATATTTAAGTTTGGATATTTCATCAAGACTAACATCTATTTTTATTATCTACAAAGAAACCCCCTAGATAAACATTATTTCAGCTGATATTCCTCTTGAAACATGGTGGATCTTAAAAATATAAAAGTGGATTTCCCCTTTTTCAAGCTTTGAACTGAATTTACACTTCTTAAGGCTGAAATTGATAGTTTATCCATACATTTTAAGAAAATAGGTATGTCAAAGAAGATGTTAAGCCAAATGTTGCCTTGATAGCTCAGAATTTTTTTTGATTTTCCTATTTTCTCCCTACAGGCCTTGTTGCCCCTTTAAAGTTACAAATTCCAATAAAGGTCTTTACTCTTAAACACTTCCCACTTGAAATAATTTCCCAGTAGTCAAACGCGATATGCTGCTAAACCAACGCTGCTGCTATTTATACCCCCGCCGAGGCAACGCTCTCATGCGCAGAACGCCGCTATACCAACGCTCGCATTACCGCTAAACAAACGCTAGCTACCGCTCGCAACCGCTTAACCAACGCTAAAGCAACGCCGGCTTCAGCGGTGCACCGCTAAGCCAACGCCCGTGTTTTTGTTTTTTTCCCCATTTTGTGCGCGTTGACGAGCGTTGATGAATTTTTTCAACGTTCAAGGAACGCTCCAGCAACGTCCGGGCGGTGTGACCGGGCCTTTACATACAGATTTCACCCAACCACTTTTTATATTGAATCAATTTTTTGTAAGCATACTTATTTACTTGTGATATTTGTTTTCTTGAACCCCGCATGGAGGATTTAGTATCTGGTACCCTGTACCCGGTACACATTTTTCTACAAACCCCATGTTTTGTCTGGAAATCGTACACTATATCGTACGCATATCTCAGAGATGGCTGTAAATGGTATCAATCTATCATGTCAGATAGTATTTCAAGGAACAAAAGGAGAAGTGATTCCTGTATTCTGCAAAATATCCATCAAATCCCCTCATTTTTTGTTCAAATTCGTTTTGCCAAATAACGATTAATTCCGCCCCACCAGAACTACACTAAACTATCGATCTGAGAATAGCCAGAGAGGTCATGTCTTTATCTTTGTCATATGTCATATAACAATGATAACAGATACATGTATTACCTGATCTTGGCCAGGACATGACCCATACATCATCAGAATGTGCTGTAAATGTCCTGGCATCAATGTGTATGGAGCTTCGGAACACACATTCGTGTGCTACTCCATCTATATAAAGAACCTTCATTGTTTTCCCTTCACAGTCTTCAACATATTCACTTTCTTTATTGATGTAAGAAGCAAGTTCTTTTATTTGTAATTCCTGTTGGATGAGTTTCTCAATATCTGTAGTCGTTTTTGTCTCATCCTGATTCGATGCCATTTTTGTTCAACCGGTTGCTCTTGTAAAGACCTGACAATGGAAAGAATAATAGATCGAAACGACTGCATAACAGCAGGGGTGGATCTGGGAACAACAGGTCTGGGAAAAAATTCGGGCCCTTAAAATCAAAACGTGGGCCCAAATTTTGAAATTTCGAGGCCCATTTTCTTCAAAATTTGGCTTAAAATTTTAAAAAAAAGGCCAGAAATCACCAAAAAGGCCTTTTTGGCCCCAATTTTCTCTCTGGGCCCACCCAATTGCAAGGGGTGGGCTAAGAATCCCCCAGATCCGCCAGTGAACAGTGACACCATGAGTAAATAGTGAAAACAATAAACAAAAAGTTAAACGTTTAATATCATGTATATGTTAATGTTTTAAACTCACCTATATTGTATAAAACGCGCCTCTTCTCACTTCTGTTAGTCTACTTTTTAAGTCTATAGATACTGCCTGTTTATATGACCTATTAACATACACCATACCAAACCTGCTCTATAAGCAAACAACCTAATATATAAAAAACGGAGGAGCTGTAATATTACTGTTACAAGGTGCCACTATGGAGAACAGAAATGTTTTAACAAAATCTAAAAAGAAAAAATTTAACAAGGAATATTCATGTTCAGGTGTAAGAGTATTCATGCATGACGGAGTGATGAAAATGGTGACATGCGGGTACCGGGATGGAGCCGATAGCGTGACTATAGTGTGCCATAATCCGAACATAGTGTGATAACAAGGGTGTCATATTGGAGATTAGGACCATTCCAATTATATGATGGGATCGGTGTGATTATAAGGTGGCATTTAACTTAAAAAGAACCTCCCCAGTCGAATGTACAACCGATACTCCCTTTTGGTAATTCAATGGAGTATTTTAAATGGCATTTACCCTCAAAATATTTATTTGAAGAAATGTAATTATAGAAAACTCTGACATATGCAACTTTTGTAACTCGCCTGCAAAAGATGACATTAATTGACCACTTCTTTATCAGTTGTTTTTTTAACTCACCTATATTGTATACAACGCGCCTCTACTCATTCTTGTGCATTGCAGAGATGGTCTGAGTATCAGAATGAGATAACTGTACTATATGTACATATTTTGTCCTGGTTGTGTTTTGATTTTCTCTATAACCGATAACACTAAACACTAAAGCAGTGACGCTAAAAGAGGACACCTCTTATAATGTATTAAACGTTTGTTTTAAAGTTTCTTACAACTCCGAGATATATTCCATATCAAATCCAAATCGCGAACGATGGTAAAATTACGACATTTAAGACAAGGTATTTTACAACCAAATCAGAAGTAGATAATTTAAATAAAACTGAAACTAAAGCAGCAATAATCAGGTCAAAATCAAAAGAGAATGAGGAAGGCGAAAGAAACGGCAAAATTTTCACACACCCTCATTCTGAGGCCCAGGTATACAGTCATTAATAAAAAATCAGTCTTATTCTTATTCAATGTAAGTAATATAGTATTAATATACATGTATACACCACGCATTACCAACTCAGTACACTAGGGGACTTTTTAAACATTTTTAACGTATTCCTGGGCCTCAGCCCTCATTTATATCCAGAACTTGGGTAAAGTCATAAATACCAAAAAATCAAAAATATCAAAACAATAAATTTAACCCTAACCCTAAGACCATGAATATGTGTGTAAAAATTGAATTCCATATTACAATAAACTTGTGTGTCAAAAAAATCAAAAAATGAATTTAACTCTAACCTTAACCCTAACCCTAAGACCATGAATATGTGTGTCAAAAAATTTAAAAAAATCAAAAAATGGATTTTACCCTAATCTTAGCAGCCCTAACCCTAACTCCCAGCAATAATTTCATGGCTACAGGCCCACTCCAGAGTGCGATTGTGTTTCCTCAGTGCTATGATAACTGCATGCCCTTAGACTACCAGTGTATAACTGCCGATAAACACAACCAAGCACAAGATTGCCATCTATTGACATTCATCTCACTCATAAGCCACTCTAAAAAGCAATGATAAACCTTCAAGTACATGCGCACCAAAAGGAAAGAGGGGAGACACCGCAAACCCCGGGCGCAAACCACGGTTGGGTACATGGGGTCGACTGTTGGTCTTTTACAAAGGGATGAATAGATGCAAAATCAGAGGAAGAAAATGAAACTAAAACTGAATTCTGACTTTACAAGGCCACGATTAAAATGTGTTCCACCATTTTAAATCACGAGGAAAAACGCAAATGAAAAACGTGACATCGTCTTGGTCTGAAATGTCACAACAATTATGTTCAGTATTATCAATTAACGAACTTAAAACAGTTTTAGATTTTAAATAACCTCATCGTCTTTTAAAGAATAATACACAATGTTTGGTTTTATTTGTAACACGTAAAATTTGTAAAAACTACATCCGATATATAGCTTTCCAATGCCGGTCTGAAAGAAATTATGGTCCGCCGGGGATTATGGTCCCCTTTCTAAACGGCCCTTACTTGCCCTGAGTGTGTGTAAGATAATAAAGGAAATAGTTGTATTTAGGTCACCATATAAATCAATGGAGAGTAGGACCATAATTTGATAGGACCTCCTACCCTTTTACACCGGTGTGCATATATGGCTAGTCACTTTTGATGATGACACGAGGACGCGATTAGCATTACATTTAACTTAATTGAAAAGACAATGAAAACGTTGATTACGATTGACCGTATATTCAAAATAAATAAATTAAATACACACATGCAAATGAAAATATGGTCTGTTATACACATTTTCGCCTAAAAGGCAGAATCAGATCTGGCAGTGATACATCATTATCTTCAGCATGATCTTCAGATCTTGACGAAAATTGTTTCAATTCCATTCTATTTTCTAAAAGTGCCCAAAGTTTAAACTTTATTTGAGAATAACTGAACATTTTTACAATAATTCGATTGGTTATAAATATGCTTACCATTTTTTATTATAAGGGAGAATTTAAACCTTTCTCCAATTTTTGTACTCTGAATTTTAAAAGACGTCAGCTAACATATCACAGATCTGTAGGAGGTATTATATTTGAGCTTGTAAGGGATACATTGGTCGGTCGAATCTATATACGCCTTATATACGAGGGGTGATTCAAAAGTAATGGACAAAAATTTATAGGCATGCTTACTCTCACCCAATATGTATGCAATTTGGTACAAATGAAGATCAATCAATTATCTATAACAGTTGTGAAAATGGTATTGCATCAATAGAAAGACATTTCAAGATTTGGCACACCTCCTGTATTAGGGTACTTATACCCGGAATTGCCTTCTTAAACATATTGCTATCATAAAAACATGAAAAGTTGTCCCAGTGTCAATCTCCCGACTGCATTTAAGATTGCTTCTACAAGATGAATATTGTTTTTATCCTTGTGATCGGGGTGGCAAGTTTGTGGTCTTCCAGATCGCTAAAGATTCAATACCCTCTCATACCTCCACCGAAGTGCTTGTACAGTGTCTGTACAATCTCTAGAGGCTTGCCTTGAAAAGGCCCTGTCTCCATGTGTGTGTTTGATTTTAAGATGGCCTAAAAGGCCCATTTTTTGAGGCCCTACAAAATTTTTGGGGCCCTCAAATTTTTTCAGGGCCCATAAAAAGGGGGGGGTCGGATCGGCCAGTGTGGTAATATAAACGGGTATGCTATCTGATTCTCCCTTTAAAAATGGTGCATTATTTTAATCACGGACTTTAATAAACTAGAGTTTAGGAGCAAAATAATCATGTATGATTTATTAAAAATTGATCTCGTATTTTTTGTTTAATGTACACCTGAAAAGTTGAAGGTACCAAAAAATGAGCGGCATTTTGGTCCCCAGTTGTGAGAAGCCCTTCTCACAGCTGGGGACCAAAATGCCGCTGAAAGTAGGGACTCTGTATAGCAGAATAATGTACCAACAGAAAGGCATTTTTCTTGTGCTTTGAATGGAACAAGTTTGAAGAAAATCGGTGCAGTATGAGACTCGCAATCCTTGATTTTCAAACACCTGGTAGGTCAAAAATTTAAATTAACGGTTGAAGTTTGTACCGCGTGATTTTACCACAAATCTTAAAATGAACCCAAGATCAATTGTCATTTTGAAACCTCTGACCGAAATGAAAAACTTGATGACTATTTTAAATTTTAACCTTGTAAATGGCCGTTTTTTACCCAAAAAGAAATAGGGAAACAGCCGGCATTGTCTTAGCATTGCAACATGGAATGTTAATGGCTTTTCACTAAAAAACAATGAAAATTCAGCATTTAGAAAAGCCATTATAGCTAATCTCGACTGTGATATATTGTGCCTGAATGAAACTTTTTTGAGAGATACACAGGAGCTGAACATCCCTGGTTATAAATGGATTGGCCAGAACGGTACAGATCTTCATCAGAGAGCACGACGTGGCGCAGGGGGTGTAGGAATTCTTATAAAATCGGATATCCTGAAAGACTTTAATTACGAAGTTCTTGACCGCTCTACTCCTGGTATTCTATGGTTGAAGTTACAAAATGGTAGCTACAGCATTTGTTTATGTGCATGTTATTTACCACCCTTATCCAGCTCTACAAGGAATAATGATCCTGAGGCATTTTACTCAACCTTACTTCAGGGAGTCTATGAATACCAAAATGATGGTGTATTGTGCATATTAGGTGACTTAAATGCCAGATTGGGCCACAACTCTGACTTTGTTGAGGGAGTCGATGATGTTCCAATACGAGTACCACTAGATACTACATCAAATGCTTTTGGTGACCATTTATTAAACTTTTTGGTTGATAGCAGTATCTGTACACTTAATGGGAGACTAGGTTCAGATGACTTTACATGTATATCACATAAGGGTAAATCTGTTGTAGACTATATATGTACAAGCCATGAGCATTTAAATTCTTTTAGTGATTTCAAGGTTTTAAAAATGAGTAGGGTCATTGATGAGTTCCATTTGAATGCTCCACGGGTATTACCAGATCACTCAATTGTGTACTGTACATTAGACATGCCAAATTTTAATTCAGATAAAAATGAGTCCGACTCTAGCTTCATGAGTGATGATGATAAAAGTAGAAAATATAAGATAAATAATGTACCCTTAGATTTTATGGCAAGTGAAGAGGTTTTATCTAAAGTGAATGATACTATTCAACGTTTAATGCTCATAAATGAAAATGATAAACGTATAAATAGTCTGTACAGTGAATTTGCAATTATTCTAGATCATGACATGAGTAAAACCTTTGAACAAATCAAAACAAAACCAAAGGGAAATAATCATAAATTTTTCAAAAAACCGTATTGGAATGAGGAGCTCCAAAAACAATGGAATATGAAAAAAGAATCTGAATCTCTGTGGTTGAACTGTAAAGAGTCAGCTAAGAAAAGAAACCTTAAGGAATTATACTGTATAGAACGCCGTCACTT